GAGCAAATCTCCTTCGCTGCTAGAAGGAATGGGTTTCTATTTAGGTGTTGTCGACAGTTTTTTTCGTTTTTTCTTCACTATCGCTCCACCTCCCATCTCTAAACTCAATATCAGGTGCCATAATGCCGAAACACGAGCCTGACTTTTGCCTTTAACATGGATAAGAGTCCTTAAACAACGTTCACAAGAAAAGCAAAAGTGAGAACTCGCCAAGAACTCGAACTCACGACCTCTCGTTCGTTGAGCCGCACCGCTGCCACTGCACTATCTCGCTTCATAACTACGTTCAAAGAGTCGTTTCGCAGATTTGGAGAGCAGATTTGAGATAAGCGTCAAAAACACATCTAGTGGTATATGTCTCGTTACAAATGGCCACTTCGACCTGGTAACGGTGAAACTCCAGTTCGGGGGGGCCACTCCATTGCTATCTTATCCGTAGTACTAGAGAGCAGTTCTTTGGGCTATCGAACACTACGGATAAGATAATAAGTGAACGACTCATTTCGAGCGTACTTTTGATAAGGACCGGTGGATGTCCTACATTCCACACTACCTGCCCACATCCCATCCACTTTTCTGCACAGGTGATCCACCCTGGAGCTCCTGCACCCTTAGCCCTTTGCGGAGGTGTCCTTTCTCCTGGTCCAGGACTGTTTCCCTGGACCAGGCAGGCGAAAATATGAAATCATCTCAGGGTTTCTTCCACATTACACCGATACTTATCAGAAGTCTACTTTAAATGAGTCGATTACGTGTCGTGAGCCCTCTAATCCTTATCTTGAGTATTGGAGAAAAAATGGAGTGGGCCCCCCCGAACTGGAGTTTCACCTATTCCGTTTCCTTATTAATGGTGTGCTTGAGAGTAGACGTGCTCTTGAATGGTGTTTAGGCTAAAACATATAATTTGATTACGCTATTTATTTATGTTAGTTTTCTATAATTCCTATATGTAGAGACACTCATCCAGAGCTTGCTTAACATCACCCCAATTTGATTTTCTTCAACACTCCCCCTCAAACAGGTTTGGCACCAGTATGCAAAAATAGAATCATGGGTGCGAAATGAAGTGGTAGCAAAAAAAGGAAAAGCGCTTGTCGAGATGCTAAAATCAGGAGTTTGCAAATTTTGTGTAAAATAGACGACGGAACAATACGTGAGATGGCAAAACATCGTATTTGGTGAGAGGTTGAGAAAATGGGAAGAGTCGGATTTTAGCATCTTCACTTCTTCACTTAAGGGCCCTCTTCTGTAACCTTTCTTTTCAGGTACAGCGGAAATACACTTGCTTCGACGTAGAAGGTTCTTGCTGATGCTTCTTAAATTTGATGTGCATAGAGGATTATTGGCCTAGTAGCTTGCGCACATCGGTGCCAGCGACCAGAAATCACTGAGAGCATCGAGCCTTTTGCAATTAATGCTCCTAAGTATACCTTCCGAATACGCAGGTCGAATGAAATCAATTCAAGCCGAGAAACAGTGACAGCAACAGCTACAAACAAAACCAGTCGTTAGACAAGCTATAAAACAATAAGAAAAAGTCCACGTAATGTAATAGTTAAGCTCAGCGAAATGATCAACTGGTATGCCTCATCATTCCAGCTGCTGTAGCTTTCTGCTCAGACTTTTGTTTGTGAAGTCACTGTTTCGTTGTCAGAAGAATAAAATCATAATCAAAACACTGTTTCTTTTGTCATTTTTGGCTTTGAGCCGCAGCAATCGCTTCCTTTACTACATACAGGGGTAGGATTTAGAAAAGATCTTTAGCCACCGTAATTTATTGATAACCACGGATACGGTATTCACATTGTAATCATGAAGCGACTGTTTAGCTGAACTCCTCTTAAAATCATAGTGCCGAAAGACTCCAATAAAAAGCACAGTAAATTTTCAGAGGTTTGATCATCAATAATAGTAGGAACATGGTTGCAACTACAAGGAGCCACTTATTCGCTGTAGACTTGTAGTTTTGGACAAGTTCTTATTATTAAGATTCTTTTCAGAGGGAAAAATTATCTCTTTTACACATTGGCGACAATGTCGCCCGATGCCGGGCGACACCCCCAAAATTTTATTCCTTTGCGCATATTCCAAATTTTGAGCGTGCTATATTAACCCGGAATACGTTGTCAAACTTGTAATGGCCACGTTCTTTGAACATCTTTCACAGTGAAAGTTTTACAGA